GCGCTTGTCAAAAACCCCTCCAAAAAAAAAAAAAAAAAAAAGAAGTATTTGACGATGCCATGGAGATCAGGATAATCAGCAAAGATGGAAAAAGTGGAAGGATCGCCTGTATTGCATTTAAGACAGAAGCCGATGCAGAGAAAACCTTTGAAGAAAAGCGGGGAACGGAGATTGATGGACGTTCCCTATGCTACACTGGAGGGAAAGGTCAAAATCAAGACTATTAGAGGTGGAAAGAATACCACTCGGAGTGGTGAATCGAAAACTCTGGTTCTGAGCAACCTCTCCTACAATGCAACCGAAGAAACACTTCAGGAAGAACTCGAGAAGGCAACCTTTATTGAAGTGCCTCAGCCAAAATGACAAATCTAAAGGGTATGTGTTTATAGAATTTGCTTCATTTGAAGATGCTAAAAAAGCTTTAAATTCCTTAATAAAAGGGAAATTGAAGGAAGAGCAATCACGCTAGAGTTACAAGGACCCAGGGGATCACCTAAGTCAAGAAGTCAGCCCGCCAAAACTCTGTCAAAGGTCTGTCTTAGAATACCCAAAGAGACATTAAAGGAGTCTTTTGATGGCTCTCTTCATCCAAGGATAGTCACTGACCAGGAAACAGGATCTTCCAAAGGGTTCAGTTGTGTAGACTTCAATAGTGAGGAAGATGCCAACGCTGCCAAGGAGTCCATGGAAGATGGTGAAATCGATGGAGGCTTTGGAGGCCAAGGTGGCTTCTGAGGAGGCAGAGGAGGAGGAGGAGACCATAAAGCCACAAGGCAAGAAGATGGAGTTTGAATAATTTCTCTATCCCTCTGTCTTCCCTTTTCCATTTGAAAGAAAGGACTCTGGGGTTTTCACTCTGTTACCTGATCACTGACTGAGCCTTCTGAGCACATTCCAGGACAGGGTGCACTCCTATGGTCTACTCGGAAAGCCTAGAGATAACGTTTCAAGGGAGATACTCTTGTTGGTTTTGACTGGATATTCATATAAACTTTTTAAAGAGAAGAGCGATAGAGCTAACCCTTATCTCTAAGTTTTGAATTTATTTTGCTTTATCCCATGTACAAAACCATTTTTCCCCTACAAATAGTTTTTTCGTGTGTGTTGGGGAATTGTAAAGGAAAGCAGAATGTTTTATCATGATTTTTGCTTCGATGACTTTAGGACAAATTTTACAAAGTCCTAAAAGAAATGAAAAGAAAAAAAATTAAAAATGGACATTGGGGCCAGCAGGCGATGTGGTGTTTGAGGCTCTGGACTCTCACACGGCAGATTGCAGTTTGAGTCTCAGACCTTATGACTTGCTTTCTCACTCTCTAGTGAGCACACATGCCCTATAGCAAAACTGAATAATAATAATGTCAGTAATTAAAAATAAAGACATGCTCATAGTTGAAAGAGTCAATTCTATAAAATTTGCTATGAAGAATAGCAATCCCTTACCCATTCTCCCTCTTCCTGTCTCTCTGGAAGTAGCCACTTTCACCTCCTTTTAAGTGAATTATTTTGGTGTTTAACTTTGTTCCTAAACAACTGGCTAGAACTGCCACTTGTTGATTTTTTATTATTAGATATCTCTTGATTTCTTGCTATGGAGGTTGAGGATTTATCTCACGTTCTACACCCCACATAAACAAATAGACATCTCCTCATTCTACTAGCCTCTGAGTAAAATAATATGGCAGTTTTGATGGATGATTATGTAGAGTTTATATTGGTATGATAATGTAATCACTGACGATAGCTGTGTGGTGTACTAAAATATGATTTTTAAAATTTTCCTTTCCAAATGTTTTTTTCCCTGGAGTTGTCTTATGTTGCAGATTTGGGTTTCTGGAAAGTAGACTCTGAGAGGAAGTAGAATGTGCAGATCGCTTGTTAGGAACTGCCCTTAGACCAGCTCTGTAAATGAAGAGAAGAGATAGACTCAGGAAAGAAGAAATCAGGCTGCGTGAGGTCCCAGCACAACTCTGGAGCTACAGTGGTCTCTCCAGTTTGTTTAGTTTCCTTGTGTTCATTACTAATTTAATCCCAGACTCTTGTCTGGTTGTCAAAATCTCCCCTCAACACATTACTCTGCATCAGACGTTCCACTCCATGCCTTCTTACCATCTTCCATCTTTTTTTTTTTTTTTTAAGAATTACTTACTTAATTTTATTCGTTAGTATTATATTATTGTTTTTTGATTTGTTATAGGTCATCTGCAGGAGAGAGAGAGAGCGAGAGAGAGAGCGAGAGAGAGAGAGAGAAAATGAGAAAGCAAGGTACCAGGTCTGGAACTTGAACCACAGTTGACCATGTGGGAGTCCAGTGCCTTCACCACATAACCTGTTGGCCCTGCCTTCCTAACATTTTATCTCTCCCAGGCCCTTGGACCAGCTGTAGCTGGATAAGTGCTACCCACTGTCCACTGTCATTTTGGGCTCAGGACATCCTGTCATACAGAGATTTTGAACACTGTAGTCTCCGTATTGGTCTCCCTCCTCCCCAGATTTTTCTGTTTGTATTTTCCTGGTTTAGTGGAGCCTTACCTTCCAGAAGCAAACCTAGAAAAGTAGTGGGATATCAAGTTTTGTGTATCTTACATATATGAAAATATTATTTTGTCCAAACTTGATTTCCTCGTTTGGAGAATTATGGACTTCTAAGTTGGAAACTTATCCCCATCTTAAATACATTGCCTCCAGACTTCTAACTTATAAGTTCATGTGCTCATGAGAGAGAGAGAGAGAGAGAGAACTCCCCAGTGGAGTGTGGTCACACTGCAATCCCTTTTCCTCCATTCCTCCTTCAGATCAGGATTTTTGGGCATGCATGCACATGTGTCCAGCACGTTTTTCAAGCTGCTGGAGCCAGGACTTTAACAGCAGTTGGACATGTGGGATCTGGCTTTATATGTGAGCACTTAATGGTTGTGCTATGGGGCTGGGCCTCTATTTTTTTTTTTTTTTTGTATTTGTTTTATTAGGGAAGATTTCCTCAGTTTTTTATTTTTAACTGATACTTTTCTTTTTTCTTCTTTTCCTTTTCTAATTTTGCCAGAGGGCACATGTACTCACGAGAGAGCAAGAGGAAGAAGGCAACCCCCAATGGGGCATGGTCGCACCACAATCACTTCTCTATTTCTCCATCTTGTTAGTATTTTGGGCACATATACACATGAGTCCAGTGTGTTTTGCAAGCCACTGGGGGCCAGAATCCAAAGTGTGGTCAACCATGTAGGACCTGACTTCTTGGACCACGAGGCTACAGAGCTGGCCTCAACCCAGGTTTTTATATAGGATGCATGAACTCTATTTTTGTTTTGTCTTTCCTTTCTTCTCTCTCTCTTTTTTTTTTTTTTTTTTAAGAGGGTTTTTTCTATTGGGGGCCTGCGCTCGCCAGTCAGATACAAGATAGAAAGCGAGAAATCACCGCCAGGGGGGATGGCCATGCCACAATCCCTTCTCCTCCATTCTCCTCTCGGGATCTTGGGCATGCACACACATGCACCCAGCGTGAGTTTAAGCCACCGGGTCCGGGACTCGAACCACGGTCGACTACGTGGGAGTCCAGCGACATAGCCATTACGCTAACTACTGATCCCTCCTTTCTTCTCTCTTAAACACTGGTTTAAACAGTATTTAAAAAATAAATAATTGACAAACTGGCTTTGTGTTGACCTATTACTAAATGAAAAGGTATTGCCAGTTACCTGCAATGAAATTGCAAAGTGGATCAACAGATAATTGCAAGGAATCACAGGTCAAATCTTAACTTGTTATCTTAATAGGTTCTATGAACTAACTTAAAAGGATTATAGCATTTCTAATATCACTAATCTTATATGATCATTTTACATAAAACCACATTGACCAAAGTGTGTGTATGTGTGCGTGTGTGTGTGTGTGTGTGTGTGTGTGTATTGGGGTTGTCTTTTCTCTTCCCACAAGCTGTAGATAATAGTTACCAGTGTTGCCACAAGAATTTGAAAGATATTATCTATTGGCAATTTAGCCTTAATTGGTCCAGGAGGATAATTCACCATGACCTTGTCAACAATTCCAAGAGAGCAGTAGAAAGTCAATGTAATATTTTGTGGCTGAAAATGAACCACGAGCAAATCTCATGTGGAAAATCCCAGGTGGTGAGATATCATGACGCTCGAAGTAGATGGGGCCTGGACTTCATTCAGTTCAAAGTTACTGTGGCAGTCATGACACAAAAGCCACCTGCATTTTATTTCTTCTGCCCCTCCTCCTTTTATGACAGTATAGTCACAGTGTCAACAACTAAAAAGTATAAAATGATAACCACTGAAAGTCTCTCCTGTCCTTGCTGACCACTTACCCAGTGTCCATTCCTGCCATTGGTAACCACCTTCTTAATATCTTATGAACGTTTCTAGAGATTCTGTAGGTATATACAAGCAAATGCCAGTATGGATTGTTTTCTTCCCTCTTTTATACAAAAGGTAGAAAAATATACAAATTGTTCTACACTTTTTTTCAACTGAAAAGTGTACCTTGGGGCCAGCAGGTGATGTGGTGGTGAAGGCACTGGATTCCCACATGGCCATATTCTCTCCAATGACTTGAGATGTCAGCTTTATCACATTTTATCCATGAATGATTTTGAGACAATTTCTGGGTGTGATATTCTACTACATTAGACTGTTATATGTCAGTGCTATAGTGTTTTGATTACTGAGCCTTCATAGCCTCTTTTTTCTTTTTTCTTTTTTTTTTAAAAGAATGATTGATTGATTGATTGATTTATTTATTTATTTATTTATTTATTTATTTATTCTGCGTGAGTTTAAGCCACCGGGTCCAGTACTTGAACCGCGGTAGACTACATGAGAGCCCAGCGACATAGCCATTACGCTAATTGCTGGTCCCTATTTATTATTATTTTTAACCTGCTATAGGGCACATGCACTCACAAGAGAGAGAAAAAGAGGGAAAGTGAGAAAGCAAGCTGCCAACTTCAAGACCACCCAAACCACAGTTGGTCATATGGGAATCCACACTCTAGCCACCACGCCACCTGCTGGCCCCATACCTCTTTTAATAATGAGGAGTACTGGGGTTAGCAGGTGGCGTAGTTGTTAGAGCACTGGACTCTCACATTGTCAACCATAGTTCAAGTCTCAGTCCTAGCAGCTTGACACTCATGCCAGATGTGTGTGCATGTGTGTCCAAAATCCCAGGAGGAAAATGGAGGAGAAAAGATTGTGGCATGGCCATCTTTCCTTGAAGGGTGATTTCTCACTTTTCCTCTCACTGTCTCTCTGTCTCTCTGATCTCTGGCAAGTGCATGCACCCTATGTCAAAAACCTTAAAAATAAAAATTGAGGAGTACTGGTCCATCTCTCCAACATTACTCTTTTTCACATTTTTTATTATTAGTCTTATTTCTTTTTCTGTGTGGGTGTTATAATAATTTTTTTCTGATAAGAAAAAGGTCTATTTTTATTGGATCACATTATAATGTTAAATTAAGTTATAGAGAACTGGTCTTTTATGATGCTGCGTACTCCTACCCAAGACCCAGTTACATTTCCACTTGTTGACATTTTCTTTCGGGCTGTGTTTAGTAGTGTTTTAGAAATTTTCTTCATATAGGTATGGAACAGTTCTTGCTGTTTATGGCATTTATTTTTTTACTTTTGCTATTATACTTAAGGTTATTGTTTCCATCATAACATTTATATTGACAAAACTTGATTTTTGGAAATTAATTTTGTTCCCTAGTACTTTATTATTTAAGAAAATTATTTGTAGTAGTCTTTTAGTTGATTTACTTAGGTTTTCCAGATACACATTTATATTACCTGCAATATTTTTCCTTTCCATTTTTATACCACTCATGTTTTAAAGTTTCTTTCTTTCTTTCTTTCTTTCTTTCTTTCTTTCTTTCTTTCTTTCTTTCTTTCTTTCTTTCTTTCT